TTGGGCCATTACAGTGAAGTGGAAAAGACCCAGGAATGACGAAAACGCGGTCCGCTCTCTATGTTTCGGTTCAAGAGGTACTTGAAAGAAACCACTCTTAAAGTCTAACACGCTGTAAACTTCTTTGCCACTAGCTAAATCAACGATGTCCTGAATGTGCGGTATACAGTAAGTTTCATTCTCGGTTATGGCGTTTATTTGGCGATAATCTACCGTAAAACGCCACTGATTTGTTGAAGGTTTCTTTACCAATACAATAGGTGATGCGAATTTACTTGTACTCGGCTCAATTATACGCGTGCGCAGCATTTCTTCGATCTGTCTTTTGATTTCCTCTCGTTTTTCTAGAGGTACCCTGTAGGGACGCTGTTTTGGGACAGTAGCATGAGAAACAAACTTTATCTTATGAGTTATAGGACCCGTGTATCTACCTAAGTTCCCGTCAGAACCAACAAAGCATTTCTGATACTTTTGAAGGAGATTGTTGAATTGAGAAGATTGGTGCTTAGTAAGCAAACTACGATTAACTTTTACACGTTCCCACAAAGGAGTATTAGAGGGGGTACCGGGGAAGTGTGGAAGGTTTCCAGCTATATCCGCCTCAGGTGGGGTATAATGAGAAGGATCCTGAGATGCTAAAGTTGAGGGGTGGATTGCGAATATAGCAGGCCATTGTTTCCGAGATCCAACAAATTCTGCATTGCAGACTACTTGATTTTTGTCTAGTTCAACAACTGTGGAGTTGGAATTGAATATGCGCAAAGGAACGGTTCCCCTTAAGGCCGGACAGGATAATGTTTTTCCCAATACTACACCTGATGGTAGGGGGATGGTTGGGTCATCACAAGAGAAAAATTCCCAGTTAGAGGGGTAAGACGCATCTACAACACCTTTGACTACATTGTCAGAAAACGGTGCTAGAACTGTTTTGCAAGCTAAACGTACTGGTGTAGAGAAACTCAAATCGCTGTTTGGATCAACCATTGGCACTGAGCAATGTGCGAATATCACCTGTTTGTTTTGAAAATTGAGTGTAACACTGGAAGATATCTCTGTTATCGCATCATTACCCAACAGTAGATTTGTTGAGCAATGCCTTTCGCTGACGACAAATGGTGCTATTGTGATAGTTTTGCTTCCTACTGAAAGAACAGCTTTTGCTTGTCCTAACAGCTGGATAGGAGTGCCATTTGCCGCTATCGCATTGTGTGAGAAAGATTGTGTAAAAGATATGTTGAGTTTTTCCGCTAATTTGTCCGTTATTAGTGTTATTGCGGAACCAGTATCGAAAAGAGCGACTACATTAAAGTTGTTTATCTTTAGTGGAATATATATAGTATTATTTTTTCCAAATTGTTGAATAGACATAACTAGAGGATTGAAATCATGATATCTATTGATTGAAAGATTATTATTGAGCTGAGGCTGAGTTTCGTGTTGGTTTTTGATTTGCAAACTTGGAAGAACTGGATGCGGATGAGTCTGGCTATCGCGAAATGTAACGAAACTTGTTTCCTCATAAATGGGAGCAGATGCTGTAGCCACGGTAACTTGCTGCGCAGTCTTTTTGCGACATGGTGTGAAAATTATTTGAAACATTTTGAAAACAAAAGCGATAGATGTTTTCACCAAAGATATTTGGTAGTAGATAAAAATTATCAATGATAGAATGATAACAGCGAGTAAAATTCTCATGGCATAAGTTACCAGAGTATGTTTTTCCAATGAATGCAAAATCATGGATTTTTGAGATTGTAAGATTTGAATAGCATTTGACTCGACGAAATCTACAGTCTGAGCAACCTCTTCTTGAAGTTGTTCGGAGAAAGAGTTTGCGTCAGAGTTGTGATTATGTGGAGCATCAAAAGCTGAGCTAATTGTCGCTGATTCCATTCTATCTTTGATGAATTTTATCTCTGTGTTAATTTTAGCAAGCTCAGAATGAAATATAGGAGGAGAATTGAAAACTATATTTTGTTGTTCAATATTTGAGGGTAAATTTACATTGACATGAGACACATGGACATAACCATTAGGCGATTTGTAACGATTTGCACTGTCTTTGTAAATTCCTAGCGGTAGGTGTCCGCAATTTGCATGAGATGAAGTAAGTTTCAAGTCACGTGTGCCTGACTGAATGAAGAATAATGTTTTTCCTACACGGACAGGAGTATCCAGATAACAGATGTTGTTTACTTTGTGGTCCGGATAAATTTCGTCAACTTGGACAGATTTGCATTTGGAGACTATAAAAACATCTCCCGCAGAGATAGCGAAGATATCGTTCCTATTGAGAAGCATTCTAGCCGCGCTTGTTGGATCGTACTTGGCTATACTTTTGATAGTTAGAGTTTTGAAATTGTTTAGCACGCATATCCTTTCAAAAATGACACTGAAATCACGCTGAATTACCTCATCGAGTTTGTACTTGAGGTATTGCAGCTTAGTGTTGAGTTCAGATTGTCGCGGATCATAGTAAGAGTTAGAAGAATGTGAATTCGAAGCATTGCCTTCTGATTCAGACGCGATTTTTGTGCTTGGCTCTTCCTCTAATTTGGTTGAGCGTTTTGTTTTTGTGGTGAAGGTTATTTGGGAAACGTTAGCGTTGCTAGTGACAGCATTTGCTTGCGAGAATATCGCTGTCAAAATAGTAGAGTTGGTAGAATTATGGGATATCCCGGAACTGTCAAAAGTTTGTTTCCTATCCATGGTGTGAGATGGAACGCTGCTTGAGAGTTTGTAATATTTTGCGTTGAGTAGTTGTACCAAAGTTATGTTTTTGTCGAAAATTGTGCGTGGATTTTCATCCAAAAGTTCAGGAACAAGGATGAATACGCCGTTATCCATTGCCACAACATTTTCAGGCAGACACCACTTCAAAAGTTGCTGCTTTGTGAATGAAACATTTTTGTAAGTGAAGGCAGATTGTATGGTTTCAAGAACGATATGCTTCGGTGTGACGTATGCACTACCTTCAGCAGCTTTTACAAATTTGCACGAAAAACTTGCATTTTGAATGGATTTCCAAACAACAGTGCCATGGGTGAGCTGGCAATAGTCTCTAGTGAGGCTACAGTTTGCCATATCACCAAATTGTCCTATTATTTGGTCACCATCAAAAGTTGCTATCTCTCCTTCCTCTACATAAATGTTGGTTGTGGATATACATTTTTGTCCAAAAAACCAAGGATAGGAGTACTGAACGGGTTTTTGTGTGCCGAAAACGTTTGGAGAAAATATATGCAATGGTTGGCCAAGATATTGTTTGGTTTTCGCTATTTTGAGGCAAAGTGCGCTGTCGATAGGAGACATGAACTCCTCATCGCTGTCTAACGAAAACGATATATGCAGATAAGAAGAACTGCAAATTTTCCTAGTTTTGTTAAAGCAGTGATACGCGGAAAGAGTCGCTGGTTCTGTTTTTTCTACAAAAACAGAAGCCTTTGTGAGTAGTACGCTCGCTGATTTTGACGGAATTGCGCAAGAAACTGTTTCGGGGTAGGCTATAGGCCATCCCGATTTACCAGAAGAGCATAGCTGATAGTCAGCAGATATGGCAGAGGCGGCGGGAAGTATAAGAGAAATGATGGCAACTAGAAACAGGGAGGGTATGGAACTACTTATACCAGTTGAGAAGTTTGTTGCTATCGAATTAACCCTATGAGGATTATGTCCCCGAGAAGAATTACGATTTCCATTTTGGTTGTGATGTGGTGAGCGATTACGATTTCGAAAGTTTGTGCTGGAGTTTTGTCTATTGTTTGATGAATTTGAGTTGTTACGAAAACGGTTTTGATTGTTAAAATTGCTTCTCGGAGGCATATTCCTATTCCTCGAGGGGGACCTGGATGGATACCTTTGATTGCTTTGCCATAATTGGTTATCGCGATCGGAAGCAAAAGAAACCTGCCGAGGACGGTTGCGGTTGTTATTGTAGTTTTGATAACGCGCAGGGGAGCGGGAGCGGTTAGAATAGTTGTAATTGTGCGAGTTATTGGGAGAACTGTAGCGATTTGGCCGTCTAAGGTTGGGGGAGTATGAGCGCTGCTGACTATGAACTGTGTTGACCTGCGCTTGGCTCTCTAGCTGTGTCAGAATCCTATCCATTTTCGCGTTAAGCAGTGAAGAGTCAAGCGAATTTTCTTCACCCTGCGTCAGATCCCATATGCGCTCGGCATCCTTCACTAACTTATCGAAATCCTTGCTCAGCGGACCCAAAAGCTTAAGTTTTTGCTTGATTTTAGATGATAATCCATTAGTGAATATCATGTGCTTCAAAAATAAACGCTTTTCTGCGAACTCTGCGCCAGGATATGCCTCTGTGATTTCGCGCTTAATCCTACTTGCAAAAATAAAGGGCGATTCGCTTGGATGCGCTGCGATCTGCATGACCTTTTCGCGCGCCATATCCAAATAATGATCATTGCAGAAATGCTCCTTTAGTTTTTTAATAGCATTTTGCCAATTTTTCTTGTCAGCAGTTTCGAAGCTGTCGAAAACTGCTTTTGCGGTTCCCTTTAGGTGCGCTGGTAATAACTTAGCCATTTTGTCCTCTGAGATATCCATGATGCTACTTATCTCATTAAAGTCATCAATGAATTGCACTAACCCTTTAGCGCCACAGTCCCCAGAAAATGTGGGTAGCCTGTTTGAATATGAAGAAAGGGACAGTTTGTCAAAAACAACGTCTAAGTTCTTAAGCAGTTGCGAGTCCATTGTAGTAGCGTCGTTTATGGAGTTAGGATTGAAAATTTGCTCGCTCTTTTTCAAAAATTCGCTTACAGATCGGGTGCGATATCTGCGCGTGGAGATAGGCTGTTCGCTTGATACAGCTGTTAATTTATCTGACGCAGTAGGGTCTATGCTCATAAAATACGGATGAGAAGGAGAAAGATTTTGTTTTTGTTTTTGTTTTTTTTTCAATCAGACAATAAGAACGAAAAAAATGAAAGTAACTGTGAAATAAAACAGTAATAATAAGAAAATGAGTGCTCAAAGCAATGAAGTTGTACCTGTCAAAGAAGTGGGCTATCGGATGGTTAGTGAATACCGAGCTGGATCGTTGGATATCGACTGTTAGTGAATACCACTGACTGCTCTTCGTTCCCTCTTGAGGATCGAATAACTCCCAACTCTATGAGCTCCTTACGTAGGAGTGGGCGGAGCTAACTTAGGAGCGTAACGGAGTACTGTCAAAGAGTAAGCCGCTACGGTAAGGTCAAATTCTGGCGCCTGTATGCCACTCAAGATTAGATAATGACGCTCTGAATCGGCGTGACTGGGAAAAAGGGCCTCTGGTAACCCCATGGGCTAACACATAGCCTATGGAATCACCATAGGCAATATAGCCTACGGACTATCCACAGGCGTCTAGATCGCCTGTGGAACTGGCGGCAATTAGAAACGGCTATGGTAATTAAACACAATTACAAAAATTTTGTACATATATACAGTGCTAGCGTTGGCGATAGAGTCCCTGAGTTTGTGTAAAAAATGATGATGGAAAATGAGAAATGATGAAAATAAATGATTGGAAATAACCTGCAAAGTTGTAGGAGAAATTGGTAAAAAGGTGTCTGAATAAAATTGCATGTAGTAAATAAGTTTTGAGAGAGAAAAATGTAGAGATTGTAAAGCGAAAATGTGAAAATTAGAAAAATGTAAAGAATATTCTAATTAGATAGGGTGGGAAAAGGGGGGCTAGAGGAAGAAAGAGTAAATATTTACGGTTCTTCACGTGGTATCACGGTAAAAACTGTAAGGAATCACAGCAGACAAAAAATATCATATACCATATTCAATATAGTAATATATTCATTATCTGCTATGAAACAAAAAAAGACTGTCAAATACACAGTAGGTAAAGAATACATGATTATATTCATTACCCACTATGACACAAAAAAATATGACAAATAAGAAAAACACACTCAGACCCATCGCCTGGACTCAAGGGAAAAGAGAAAAGAAAGGGTAAATATGAAAAAGGGCTACGTAATTCACGTAGGAGATGAGGGCTGATGCCGGTGGTGGGATTAGCAAAGATCTGCAGAATCTATGCTTATTTTTTTTTTGAGAAAAGTTATGCGACAAAATCGTTCAGAAAAACCCGGGACCTCCATGTCAAGTTGTAGAGTTAGCTATTCTCTTAACTTGATCCCTCTACCCTAAGTTTCTTCCCCTTGTACTAACATAACAGTTCTGACTAGATCCTTTTATCGTTATAACATCAATATAGATATGGGGGAACATAATTGGGGAGGGGACCACCGAGCACCCGGGGAGTGCCAGCTCATCTGAAGTTGGTGGCACCGCCCAGTCGGCGAGGGGACTGTCGGACTCTAATTAGTCTGCGTCTCGACAATTCAAAGGCATGTTGTAGACTGAAGATGTTACTGCTTTCTCAATTGCTTCAGAAGGCAGTACGTTTTTGTGTCAGTGCATGAAAAATGGAAATCCATGCAATCACAGATCATAAGGAACAGCGATAGGTTGCTGGCAACGGTTGCCGAAGTTGCCGGCGTTGCTGGGGTCAAAGACAGCTTAGGGAGGGATACTTGGTCACCGCGGCCATTCATAATGATTTGTATATCAAAAAATGCGCCTTTTAATGCTGGTTCGAATACTGTCTTCCATATCTGCGAAACGATAACCTGGATGGAGTTGTGATTATTTTTCCATGAATGAACTGCGTTACTCCGGAGGGTCAAAATCATCAATACAAATTTTCTTTCCTTTTCAAATGCTGAGTATGATTTAGATAGGTATAATACAACAGTATTCCTTTTAAGATTCTCTTCAATAGCTTCAAATGGTAACTTAGAACAAATTTGGTGATTTTAACTACAGAAAGTACGCAAATTATTTACGAAAAAAAGTTCATAACTTCCTTCAGAAGATCGTTTCGCAGATATCAAGCACAGATTTGGAATCAGCGTTTCAATGTGCATGTTACGGTAATCATCACATTTCAAATGGCCACGGTGACCGAGTATCCTTTCTTAGAGAGCGCGCAAAACGTGTAGGCTATCATGGGTCCTACAGCGACCGGCAACACCGTCAACGTCAGCAACCTCGGCAACTCCAGCAACCTCGGCAACCGTTGCAGCAACCTACGGCCGCTCCCATACGCGTCTTTTACTGAAAACGAGAATTCTCGCTTTCATAGTGATTTGCTCGGTTTTGGATTACTTTTGTTCGAAAAAGCACGATTGGAAACGGTTTGCGCCTACTTTATACTTTTTGCTCTCATTTCCACCAACATCTAAGGAAGCGCATGAACACTGTGCGCACGTGTATGCAACCAGTTTAAACGCGTGCGTCACCTCATTTTGGATGTCTTACTACTTCGAATGGAATGACGAACAAGTTCAAAACTGTAGGACAACGCGCAACATTCGCGTGCTTCTTTGGTTGATATTATTGCACTTTGAACGCATCACAAAGATCAACATCAAACATTTAGTACTTTTTCGCACGATTCTCGTGAATGACTCATCGGATCGACGGAACGGCGCGTCATTCTTCAGTCGGGCATTTTGCTATCGTTGCTTGGTGATGGGCGAACGGCGCCAGTACCTCCGTAGTTTTTCTACAAACAGGCTCTCTGGTCCCTCCGCCATTCAACGCTGTCTCGCTGTTGAGCTAAACGACTGAGCCGTCCGCGTCCTTGTCGATTGCGAGCGCTTGCGAAATGTTGTGCAATAGTGGGCGGAGCGCGAGCGCACTGCCCTTCGCCCGCGTTCAACCCGCATTTACATCAGCTGCTGTCATAGGTTTGAGTACGCTTTTCCTTAGCTGGTCTTTTTGCCTAATATAGGCGGGTACAACATTTGCCCCTTCGAAGATGTGGGTACACTTCGGTCATGTGCTTGAGGGCAGTAGCACTGGTCCTGCAGGGAATTCCTTTTGGTTATGGTATTTATGCTTGAACTTGCTCTTGATTCTCGAGGGTGTGATTTGCAAGATCTCAATGCTTTTGATCGAAATTCTTTCTTCCAGAAAGCTTCCTCAGTCGGTTTCATGGACAAATTCTCAAGTGTTTTGATTGTCGTTTGTAATTACGACGTTTCCCTCTTATCATTTCAGCGAAACTTTGCGTAGATTGATAAGAGAAAATCCTGCTTCACAATACAAAATACCTGAGAATGTTCAGGTGTTTTTTTTTTCGATCAAGAAAATATCACTGCTTTCAAGAAAACCATCAAACAAAACGATCTTGTCATGTTAGGACATGTCAGCCACGTCGCAAACGCTGCATCTTAGAATTACGGTGCCATACTTGGAATGGGCTTTAGCGTTCGATGTGTTGTTTGTTGAACGTGTCAAAAACTTGAAATTTAGGGGACATTTTATGGTCTGCCCATAACGACGATGGAATGCGTGACAATAGGATGCGTTTTGTAAATAAATGTCCTTGAGCCTATTCATCCATAAATCAGCACGAATCTTTTTACCGCTGTTTTTTCAAGTACATTGTTGCTGATTCATCCGCATATGGGCTATTGTAGGACGAATCTTCGCCATCTTTTCCTTTTTTCATATCCATTCAGCAAATAGAGTGGATGAATCATCACTTGGATCAATAGGGTGCTCGCGCCCGCTGCCCCATCAGGGGTCGTTCCGGGTTCTTTGCCAAACCGTCGACAGCCGCATTAGCAGACGTTTGTCTGTTTGATAATAACTGGTTGCACTTTAGCCGCGTTCTGTTACGTGCAATTGTCATAGTTCAGTAATAACAGAAATCTTTTGCAGGTTTTTCGGGGTCGCCTAGAAATCCCGAGTCCGGAAACAAGTTTTTGAGCGTTCCGGGTTCGCTAAAAAGCGCACCTAGTCGCTGAGCTAGCGGAGTTCAGAAGGTGGGTTCTGAAACTTATTCAAGTTCTTTTTTGTTGTTGAAAATACTACTAGAAAACGACTTTGCGGTGCGGTTGCGTTGCTTATCGTTATTAAACGTTAACTTATAGAAGAAAGGGACCAAATGACTATGAATATTGTTTTGATGTAGAGTCCTTCGAGCAGCTTAGTATGGCGTCGTGGTTGTTCTTGATCCGGATCCGATCCAGACGCGGATCCAGAACATCCAGAACAACTACGGATCGAATACCGATCAAGGGCAACTTTGACACCATACTTGTTTGTTATCACATTGCATCTTGCGCTGTATTTTCTGACCTACATATCATTGCATTCATGAACTATAAGTCTTGCTGAATTGTTCGAAATTTGCTCAGTGTTGTTAATATTTATACCCGTTCTTTTGATCGTGGTCCAGCCACACCAATATAGTAAATGGGGGCTTTATCGGTAGGTGGGTGCATCATCGATTTGCTGTCAAACTGTACTCGAAAACTGCACGCAAACGACCAGGCATTTTCGAAAATATGTGGGGACGTAGAAAGCGGGGACGTTGGAGAGATAAGCATGTAGTTACTAGTATTGCTTAGGTTCTATACAAGTAGTTCATACAATGAGTTTGTTACTTTTAGGTTTACATCGTCGCGTAGCTAAAAGCTCGCGTTTTGTCTTTCGAGCCAACAAGAGAAGAAGAACAATTCCTATCATGCTCGCCACGATGTACTATAGAAGAAACATGGTTGCCACCAAGGGACCAAATGTCGCCTCCGCCCTCGTGGCGGAGGATGGCTTGCAACGAGCCATCAAATCCGATCACCTTTTCCGAAGGGCTTCAATATACAGATCTAGCAGTCCTAGCTCAAGACTCGAGTGTAGAGCTGCGAACAGAAGGTCTATACAGCGAGCCTTACGACAAGCATCACAGGTTTGTGGCTTGGTTCGTGCTTGTTCCAGAGATACGGTACTAAGCTATTTCTCTGGATCTTTAGTTGCATCTGTCACTACGAACAGTGGACGGATCAATCAAGTATCGAGTTAATTGTGAATACGACAAACTTGGTGTCAATGGACAATATGAACAATTCTTCAGACCACATGTCGAAGATGAACGGTGGGTGATAACAGTAGAGGGTTTAAGAAGAATTGTGGATCAGTTTTGTTAAGAAAGGCCTAGAAATTAGTTTCATGATTGGTATCCGCCCAATCGATTCGCATGAGATGTAAGAGGTAGCGTGATTTTTGCATGTGTTTCTTAGGGATCGCGAGATCCAACAAGAATTTATAGAGTTTGGTGACTTGACGTTTGACATAACGGTCCTTCGACGTCTTCAGCTCTTGCGCGTATAAAGTGACCACACGGCAATTTTTTCCCGTTCGCCATTTTTTCACGCGCACTTGCTGTCGGCACCAATGGCACTACAGTAGTCATAAAACCTATAACTGTTGAACTTACAGTATGCTACCGTAGCCCTTATGGCGTGTAACCCATATTGTGCGCGTGCTACCTGGTTACGGTACTCGTACTGCGCATCTACTCTAATTTCAGCGGTTTGGGATGGCTCTCAGAAAGAAGTGTCTGGTTGAAAGGACTTGATTTTTTGCATGAATGCTCTGCGTTAGCGTAGTAGTATATCAGGGAATAAATCATTACTTCCGGGATGGAATTCTTTACATGATGCTTACGTCTTTTGGTATAGTCTTGAGGCCTATGATGCTCGGTTACTCAAGATTGCCCAATAATTAGCAATCGTACTTAAGGAGGCGTCGGATATGTCATATGGGGTCCGATGTTCTTGTCGTACTAATGTTCTTATTTTCAGACGATGTGGCATCGCGCTTGTTCCCGAATGCGGACTGGCAGTTTGACGCAACAGACTGGCCGCATTTCGAAACTCTTACTTACGAATCGCCTCCGTACTCGCACGAATTTTATGCCGGTGATTTGACACCGACAAGCATTGGTTATCCGGTTGATCTAAACGAAATAGACGCAGCGCTTGACTGCGATATCAGTACGCTGGACGCGTATCTACACAGCCCCGATTCTTCTGGTAGTACCGAGATGTTGCCGCACACGCAGCCCAGTACAAGTAGTCCAAGCACTCAGCCAGCAGCAGTCGCAGCGACAGCCGTAGCACCACAGCCGTCGTCGACAACGCTTGACGCCGAACCGCTCGAGGAGTTCTTCCCCGATTTGTGCGAAGTTACCACCACCGTACCTTCGGCCCCTCAACGTAACGAACGACGGCGTAAGGTGTCTGTCGGTAAGTGTGTTTTCATCTCGTATCGTTTGCCCTAGGAAGACCAAACTAACACTTTCATACATCCACTTTTTTTTGTTCCATGATTTCGGTTTTTTGCAATACTCTTACGATCAATCTCACATAGCGCACACTTATTGTAAAGTTCCCGTATGCAGTAGAATCCGACCGTATATATAGGTCATCTCAGCGGGAGTGGCACGGCTTCAGCAGCATCAGGCTTCCTGCCGCCTCGCACGAGTCTTGCGTCGCGTGCGGACATTCTCGGGACATTTTCCTACCTTCAGTACTCGCTGCTGGGGTGTGGAAAAATGCTAGAAGATACGTGTGCGAACGCTGCGCAAGATTCGAGGGAGGCTGTCGCGAAAACCCGAGTCGCTATAGCTGTGACACTTTCACTGAAACAGCCTATAGTTTGGTTTTTCAACTCCTGGGGCAGGCAGTGACAAGCTTTGAAGCAGTTTATCTGTTAGCTTATTCTCCTCTTCCCTTTTGCAGCAAGTACTCGCTCCTCGTCTTCCCGATATTCGCCCTACTCGATCGATTCTTCCAACCTCGATCCTGAAACAGCCTACAACGAATACCGTATCCGACGCGACAAGAACAACCTTGCTTCGCAACGGTCACGACAGAAGCGAGTTGAGAAATTGCGACAAATGAAAGATGAGAAAGAAACTTTGGAACGAAGGAACATCGAATTGAAAACGCTGTTGAGCTCTCTTGAGACGCAAGTTGCTGACTATAAACGTATGGTCTTAATGATTGTGTCAAAGTCTGCGTAAGTGTATTCTTTGATGTGCTGGCAGGTATCGGTTTATCGTGTTAATTTTACGGGCTGTATCTACTTTAATATATTCTCGTTTAATCAAATATTATGTGTATCCACTGGTATGGTGTATTTAATCTTTTGTGTTGTTAGTGAGTAGTTGTGTGTTTATTATTTATTATCGTGGTTAGATAGTTTGTGATGTTAATACGTATAATAAATTATGAAAAAAAAACTTTTCGTTTCCGTAACATGTAGAATGATTACATCGAACTCATGATTTTGGGTTCTTTTTCGAAGTAAATCCACGATTTTGCGTTCTTTCCGAAGTAAACTTATTCTTCAATGAAGGTTGTCCTTGGATTAATCATTCACGCGAATTGTTTTTGGGACTCCTTGCAAAAACTAGGATAGTTCATCGTTTTCTGGTAGGACATATCATGAAAGATTGAGTCACTCTTAAGGAGTGACAAATGAAGTCGTTCGGTTGCAAATGGGGAACTTCCTAAATTCAGCGTTTCGGATTTCATGCTTCTACCATTCTTACAAGCGTTGGTCCTTCGGCCTAATTCTGGACATGAGATACAAAATATCTGGGAACCCAAAAATCCTTTGCGGAGCTTTTTTTTTCTGTAGCAGGCTGAGTCTTATGCAAGAAGGGTTCCATTCTCAAACGGTTCTTGATTTTTTTCCACAGCTTACAAGCCATTTATGATGCAAAAAATTGTCTTTCTTGCTCTTTCCAGCGCTCGACGATCAAAAGATCACAAATTATTCTGGATTGGTCTGTTTAATCACTGGGTTAAGAGTTATGCGACCATGCTCTTTGTGTGGTAAAGAATGCCCCAGCGGTTTTAACCTCAGTAAGTTCAGATTACGACAGAGAAATGACATCACGGAATGCTTGCATCGCTTCAGTGGACGATCTCTATAAGTTTCTCAAACAGTGTTGAAATGAAGAGAAAACGCATTATCCTCCACTGTTTATGGCACTCTCGCCTTTCCGCAAGTACTGTAGCGTAAGTGTTCAGTCGTTATATCCTGGATTCGCATGCCACGCCCCTTTTCTTGATCCCCCACATCCAATACTGCTATGACCATGGAGTACTGTAACTAAATGCTGCACGACATGCTGAGTACATGGTAGCTGCTTTACACGAGAGTTTGTCCTGGACAAAGTCCCAACATTAACCAAGTTTTCATATACTCCTTCACTCTTCTGTAGAAAATCTGAATGACAAGAGCGAGAAGGCAAGCAGCTAATCTTCAATTTAATCCACAAATTTGAAAGAATTGATATAAGGTGACACTAACTAACTGTGGGTGACTGAATAACTATTAGGGATCGGTTTCAAGAGCATTAGCATTTTCTGGAAGTGTGGAAGCCTAATTAGAGCAGAAGCTGACCAAGAAGGTGCAATATAAATTGTCGTCATGTATGCGAAACTGAAAAGGAGGGAGAATGATGTCGACTTAGAGAAAAAGTTTGAAGGCATTAGGAACTCATAGGGCATTCGAAAAATCGTGACGACGGCGCAACCGCGCGCGACACGCACGCACGTCTCAGCAGCCGCGTTTTCTAAATTCTCATCTCTACTCGAATGGTTTTTGTGCTTACATACGACAGTGCGACAGTATCAGACACTGGAAAAGACTGAGCTGAGAGTTGAGGTGATGCCGTTTTGTATGAGTGTTTTCTGCTCCTGTGGGCACAAATATGCAGTCAAATCGTCGTCACTATTTTACAAACGACTTATAGCTTTCCTAGCTTCGTTACTCGCAATAGTGCGTAGGGATATATCCACTGCATGGATGTCTGGGTCATCCGGCCAAGTGGAAGGAACAGATGTCTAAGGAAATGTTTGCATTTGAGCTCAAATAAACTTCAAACATCAATGCTCTCGTTTCCTTCTCATTCCAAGTATGGAAGCTAGTTGCTACGCTACTGTTGACTGCATGGATGCAGAAGCTACCATGTAAAGCCATTGAATTCATTAGAATTGTAGAGGGGTGTCACAAGCTTTGTCTATAAAAGCGTTTCACGAATGCATGTGATATCTGATATTGGCATTCTGTACTAGGCTTAAAGATATACTTCATATTTCATTTGGCCACTTACACTCACAACGCCTTGCTCATCAGATATACAATTGGGGCGAATCCCCTACATTTATTTAAAACTCAAAAATCAGCAAGGCCAACTCAATGTGGTGCTGCCATTCCAGGTGTATTTTTACACACGCTGACTTTTATTATATACTAGGCTTGCAAGTTGTAGAGAATTATTGGAAGAATTTGTTTCATTATAGCCAGCGTAATTCTTGCTCAAAAAGTCTTGATAGAGTTTGAATCGAAGGATTCAAATTAGCAAGTGTAATTAAATTGAAAACATTTCTTTGTGGAAGACAAAAAGCGGATTACTGTGGTTGCTAAGAGAAGCGTAATTGCATAAAGGCTCATTTGTGTAAAGAGCGTATCCATAGCTAAAGAAATAGAAAGATCAGCATCATGCAAGGTCTAGCCTTTCGAAAAAGGGGAGGGTAAAATTTCATAGGATTTTGTGAGGAAATTTTCACATGGGATTCAAAATTTCAAAAATATCGGAACTCAAGCTTTACGGATTCCTTCTATGTCAAAAAAAAAGAAAATAAACAAATATTCTGGAATAAAATATCTATGCTCCGATATCTGCCGCAATCGCACTATGTAATCAAAATATATTGTAATAAATAAATATTGGAGCAGCTTTCTGCATCTGACACGTTCCCCCAAAGCATCTATTTGCTCTGAGGCAGTGGCTCGGGAGAATCACAACTGTGAGCTCTCCAGGCCTACATGGCTTCTGGAAGAGTCCGGGATCCTACAGTGCTTGTGAAGCCAAAAAGTGCTTTTTATGGCAATTTCTCCCCTCGGAGATTGCTGAGAAGGCTGGAGGAGAGATTCCCGAAAAAGAACACGACTGGCTAGAGGAAACTGTAACTTCACCCAATTTGGCGGCAATTGGCTGATGTACTCAGGCAGCCAATCGCGATGTTGGCGGGAATCGCTCGTCCAGCCCACTCCGTCAATCTCCAAGGACGAAAAACGCGGTAAAAAGCAGCGCTTTTGACTGTTCAAGCACATCCGTGGACTCAGCGTCCACATCCATAGAGCTATTCCAGCACATCCATAAGGCCAAAGTGGAATGGGATTGCAAACAATTTTCCCAAGCCACCTACCTTTGTTGAAATTGTGCAAGACAAACCAAGAAAGCTTGGGTTGATTTTAACTGATTTTTTGACACCCTCGCCAACAACTTTCGACTGTCATTAAAGTCAACCCTTGTTGATCAAAGCTATAGATCCGCAAGAATATGAACAAATAGGATAGCCTAGACGTTAAAAAAATGAATTGACTCGAGAAATCTCTTTGACTTCTGTGATTATTCGCACGCTTGTCTGTCATCGTCTGCACCTCCTATTATGTGAGTTTCTCATATTTATGAATTATCGGAAAAAAGACCCAGTAACGCTTGCTTCACGTATGTGCTATGGGATTCACTTGCAATTTTGATTTACTCGACCGTTAGAAATCAAAATGACAGGACAGAGGCTCGAAATGTATGCATACAATACCACCCGTAATTTGTGAAAAAAATGGCGGCGGCACTTAAAGGCAGTGCGTCGGCAGATGAGACCCGTGGCAAAAGAAGGTCACAGGGTAGGAGCCCCCATAATGGAACTTATGAGCCAAAGTTCGGTCTTTCTCTGCCACTTCTAACCGAAATTTCAAAGCGAAAGCAGCGCTCATCTCCTGTCCCCTGCGAATCCGCCCACCCCATGGACGAGTGAACGCAGAGCCCGTTATGGCGAAAACGCAGAGTCGTTGCGGGACCTCATGCTTATAGCATTGCGGCTGGCGCTCTGACCGTGGAAGACACTCGTCCATGGCGTGGGCGGGTTCGGAGAGGACAGGAGATGAGCGCTGCTTTTGCTTTGAAAATTCGGGGGTTAGAAGTGGCAGAGAAAGACCGAACTTTGGCCCATAGGTTCCATTATGGGGGCTCTTACCCTGTGACCTTCTCTTGCCACGGGTCTCATTCTGCCGACACACTGCCTTTAACTCACGCGGCGCCGCCGCAGTTAGGTGACAAACGCCGCGTCGCGCGACAAAAGTCGGCGGAAAAGCGGCATTTGCCGCCTAACTTTGCCGCGCAACGCCTAACTTTTTTTTATAAAAAAGACCTTATCTTGATCCAAAATTTATGAATTCTATATATAAGAGTACCATTCAACTCAGCTCGGCGAGGCGCATCTTCCAGTATACGGATGTGCCTAGTTGTGGGATATAAGTTTCCTTCCTGGAATTTTAGTGTAAATGGACCATTCAGTGTGCTGATTCCAGAGGCTACATACACATTCTGTTGAGCACTGCAGAAATAGGGCAGATATGAGCTCATTCTGCATGGATATGTGTGAAACTGGGCTTTTCTCGGCGAAGTATGACGGGTCCAGGAAGACAAAAGGAAATGGTTGGAAGTCGCATGAGAAGCACATATCGCGGAATGCCGCGCGTGCTGTGCAATATACAATACCACTCACAGAACGGGAATTTCGCGATTCCGGAATATCGCAAATTATGCAGCGCCATAACTTCCTTCAGAATGAATATATTCTAAATTCGAAAGCAGCACTGTGTTCATCTCGTCAAGGCGAATCTTTCGACATACGTCATGTCATCTATATCTTGTTTCCAGTTTTCTCAAATTGTTCTGAGGAGGTCCCTTTGCAAGTATGTAACGCAGCGCCTATCCAACATGAAAGCTTCCAGTAAGCACCATTCGATAGTGCTCTTCTTCTACATTATAGTGCGCTAGGAAGCTGCCGCAGACTTCTTTTCAAAAGAGAAAAAAGCGTTGGTAAATTCTGGAAAAATCACTCGTTTCCAGATTCTACTCGCCGTAACTTTCTTTGGAGTGGATATTTTCTGAATCCGAAAAATGCGTTGTGCTCAGCTCATCAAGGCAAATCTTTTCGTGTGCAGAATGTCCTTGATATCTCGATTTCAGTATTCTCAAAACTTTCTGCGGGCGTCTCTTCGCAAAGGTGTGAAGCAGCGCGTATTGCCCCCAGTACATTCAGAAAGAAATTTTCGATAGTACTTCTTCTGTAGATTATGGAGCGCTAGAAAGTAGCCGCACACTTCTTTCCAAAGGAGTTAGAAGGGCTGGTGAATTCTGGAAAAATCATGTCGTTC